GCCGATCCAAGAAATCCGCGTGGAGCGCCAACAATTTATGTTTATGGCACTTGTTCTTCTTCGAATGGACTCGTACAATAATATGGCCGAGCCCATGTCGGCCTTCCACCTCTGCGCGGGCACAGGGAGCCACAGCTTCTCCAGCTCGGCGTGCAGCAGCCGGCTCCGCACCGCCGCCCTGGCTGCTGCGTGCGGTGCGCTGGGGCCGCGGCCGACAGCGCCATCAGCTCCTCGGAGGCCGCGTAACGAGGGCGATGTATTGGGGGACGGCAAAGGCTGCAGAAAAGGAGCCCTGTTGGGCCCCTGAAGGAGCCCTGTAGGGCCCCACAAGGAAGGACACACTTCTCCCCCCCCCCCCTCATTTATCGCGCCCAAGCTCCGTTCTTGACTGTGATGCCGGGGTCCTCAACGGATGACTCAAGGGCGTTGAGGGCCTCCTTCAGTACCTCGTCGACGACGACAGGCATCCGCTGCCGATGGTAAGCGTCCGCTAGCAGGATGGCCACGTCGGCAAGCTGGCGGGGGTCCGACGTGGACACGTCCTTGAGCGTCTTGATGACCTCGGGGCTGTTGCCCTCGATGCAGGCCAGGCGTGCCCTGGTGATCAGCAAGCCCCGCAGAGTGCGGCCGTCGCCGTAGACGCGCGCGTGGCGGATCGCCTCGTCAGAGAGCCTCGAGGCCATCCAGAGCTCCCCGCGCAGCATGCACTCCCGCGCGAGCTCCGCCCAGACCTCGTACGTGTGCAGCTCGCTGCACAGCCAGGCGCAGCTCGGCCGGCCAGGGTCGCCGTGGCCACCGCCCCCCTCCGACCACGCGGGGTCGAGGCCGCCGGCGCCCCCCTTGGCCCTGCCGGCGCGCTGGCTGCGGACCTGCTCGAGCTCCTCCTCGAAGCCGCCGAAGCTGTCGGGTATGAGGTGGACGGCTGCCTGCCACTTCTCCCTCGCGGCGGCGTCGGCGCCCGCCATGCCGCACTCCTGCGCGACGCGGCTCAAGCGCATGTGGGCAAGGCACGAGACCGCACTGCGCACCGGGTCGTCGAAGGCCTCGGCCAGCTTCAGCTGAAGGGATACCACTGGCAGCACCCACAAATGGTATCCCTGCTCCTCCAAGTCGCTTTGGAGCTGCACGGACAAGTGAAACGTCAGGGTCGGCTGCGTAAACGCGTCCTGGTGGCCTACCCAGGTGCTGACGGAGGCCGGCAGCATGCCCTCCTGCTCAGCCTGGGCGATCATCTGCGGCAATGCCGAGCCGTTCATGCTCCACGCGCACTGGTGCGGGAAGGCCCACTCCGAGAGCCTGGCCGGCACGGCAAACGAAGGCAGGATGTTCACCAGCGCCACCTTGTCGGGGTCGACCGTGGTGCCCACGACGCTGGTGCGGCTCTTCCTGACCTTGCTGGGCCTCCTCGACGAGATCGCCTGCGACCCCTCGCCCTGCTCCCCCGCGAGCGCTGGCTCGGGCATGGCCGCCGCCAGCTGGCGGGCACAGGCGTTGGCCAGCTCCACCGTGCTCGCGAAGAAGCGCACGGCGAAGCGCGCGGCGCTCAGGAGCGCCCCGTGCATGTCGGGCCCCACGGTCAGCCTGCCGCGCATGGCGTAGATGCGGCACAGCGCGTCGTAGTGGTGGGAGCACAGCTGCTCGGGGAGGTCCGCGTCCTCGTCCGTCTGCCTGCGCATCCTGCTCGACCTGGCGCTGCTCTTCTTCGAGGAGAGCGTGGCGGTGCGCCTGCCGGCGCTCTTCCGGCCGGTGCTCTTCGTGCCGGCGCCCCTGCTGCCGACGGCGCTGGTCTTGCTGCCCTGGCGGCTGCTGGCGCTGCCGCGGGTCTTCCTCGTCCGCGCCTCGCTGCGGCCGCTGCGGCCTGTGGACCTGGAGGCCTCGCTCTGGCCGTCGTCAGTTTCGTCGTTGTCCTCGTCCATGTCGGGCTCCACGTCCAGCAGGATGTCCGCCGCGGCGGCCAACTGATCCAGCGCGTCCCCAGGTCCGAAGCCGTTGCGCAGCAGCCAATCCGCAAACTGCATCCTCACCTCCACCACGTCTGGCTGCTGCGCCTCCTGGAGGATGTCGATGGCTTTGCTGTAGGCGTCCAACTGGTCAGACCGCTTTGAACTGGCATCTGCGAGGGTCAGCCAGATCTTCGCCTGCGGCTTCGCTTGCGTCTCCTTCATCTTGCCCATCGCGACGGCGATGTTTTTGCCCTGCCGGCTGAGGGCCAGCATCCGCATGGCCCAGAGTTGCCGCTGCCCAGTGACGGGTACAGCCTTAGGGGAACGAAGAATGACATGCGCATAACAACTCAGAGGTCCCCCCGCCCTGGCGCGCGGAGCGCGCCAGGGGCGGCGCCGGAGGCGCCGCCAGGGGGGTCCAGAGCGGATCCCAGAAGTCCGCGCGGACCTCCGAGTCTTTCTGCTCGTGGCACTCTGCGTTCCCCTGAGCCTGGAAGGCCTCGTTCAGCACCTCGTGGATCCTGTCCCAGCGCCCGGCGTCGCTGTAGCCATCGAAGATCGCCTGGTAGATGCCCACCAGGAAGTGCGGGTCGTCGCTCCACCCCACGCCGGCGAGCGCACGCGCGGCCGCCTGGAGTGGCTCGAGGAGGAGCTGCCGCGTCTCGGCCGAGAGGAGCATCGGCAGCGCGACGTTCCAGAGGTTCGCGGCGGCATTCACCGCCAGCTGGGTGCTCCGGGTGGCCTGGGCGTACTCGCAGCACCGCTGGTACTGCTCGACGGACATGCTGCGGAGCCTCGCGATGCTGTCCTTCTCCTGCTTCTGTGGGTCCACGAGCCGGGCGAAGACGTCCCCGCAGAGGGCGTGCGCCGCGCCGGTCCACGAGAGCCGCAGCTTCGCTGCGTGCTTGGGCGCCGGCGCGTCCTTGTCGCCCAGGGCCTTGATGCCGCACATGAGCGCGTACTTGGCCCCCACGTTGGGGTGCATGGGCTTCTCCGTGCACTTGCGGCCCAGGCGGGTCCAGAGCTCCACCCAGAGCGTGAGGGCGGCCTCGTCGTTCTGGCGGGGCTCCCAGCCGCTCAGGATCTGGACGGCCTGGTCGACGAGCTTCCTTTGAGCAGGGACCGACCGTCCCAGCAGTCCTCTAGCCCTACCACGAAATGTTCTTAGAACCCCCACATGTTCTGAGAACAAAAACGGTGTTCTTAGAACATAAGCACGATGTGCTAAACCAAGACAGACTCCGCCAGAACTGTTCTTAAGAACATCTCGTGGAAACCACGAACAGATTCTTAGAACATTGTTTGGTAGGGCTATAGGCGAGCCAGGACGCTTCGCCGCTGCTTGCTTCCTTGCTTCGTCCGCGCTGGGGGCGTGCGGGATGCTCATGACGGCCTGCATGACGTCGGCCTCCTGGCCGAGCAGGTCGCTCTTGTCCTGCGCCTGCACGGGGGCTGCTGGCGCGTCCTTGCCCTTCTTGCCCTTCTCCTCCTTTCGGGTCGGGCGAAAGGGGGGGATAGCAAAGGGGGGGGGGTGAGAATCAACTCACGCAGCTGATTTTCCCGGCGCCTCCCGGCGCCGGAAGCGACTAGGTATCGAGGAATGGGCCCCTCGGTGAGGCCGAAACCAGCTGCATGTAGCAAATTTCGTAGCCCCCCCTTTCCCAATCCCCCCCTTTCGTCCGCCCCGATCCTTGCCGCCGGCTGGAGGCGTGGCATCCAGGCGCTCCGGCCTCAGCCTGGCGAGCTCGGGCAGGGGCTTGCCCCTGGCCTTGCAGAGGTCCGTCACTCTCGCCACCACCATCTTCCTCTCGCTGGGCTCCAGCCTCTTCACCACGAGGAGCTGCTCCGTCTCCAGGGCCCCGAGCTGCCCGGCCGAGAGGCTGGCGTCCACGTGGGCGAGCAGCAGGTGCGCCGCCAGCAGCGACTGGAAGTCCCCCCGCGGCAGGGCGGCTTCGCCGTGCAGGTACTTCTGCAGGCGCTTCAGGCCCTCGCCGTACTCGGGCAGCGCGCGCTTGAGCAGCTTGGGCTGATCGTGGGCTTGGCTGACCTGAGGAGGAAGACCAGACTGCACGGACAGAAGCTTTCGACGGTCCGCGCAAATCTCTCGGATCCGCGCCGGACCCTCCTCCCTGGCGCGCGGAGCGCGAGAGGGGCGGGCCCAACGCCGATCCAAGAGATCTGTGCGGATCTCCAACAGTTTATGTGTTTGTGTCGCTTATCTTCCTCGGTGACCAGCTCGAGATGGAGGTTCCACCAGAGCGCCAGCCCGTTGGCCACCATCCACCACTGCTCGAACTCGTGGCTTTTCTCGATGCCTAGGAGCAGCGCCTCGATGAGCGCGCGCTTCTTGCCCGATGCGGCCTGCTGCTGCTCCGCCGTCAGCCTGGGCTCCTCCTCCCCGTCGCTCCAAGCCTCGGCGCCATCCGCGTCCACCTTGGCGGCAGCCTCGTCCTCGTCCTCCTCCTCCATCTCGTCGTCGATGCCGTTGATGACCCCGAGGTCCGCGAGACCCTTCGACAGGCACTGCGCCTTCACGTACGCGGCCTCCGCGAGCAGGATCGCGCCCTCGGCCTCCACTGGCGGCGGGCCGAAGTGCACCTCCGCGGCGGCCTCGAGGGCGCGGTCGCACGCGCGCACGGCGAAGTCGTACTGCTCGGCGCGGAAGGCCTCCACCCCCACGCGGCAGATCAGCGACACGACCTTCTTGGCCCTCTCGACGGCCTCCTCCTGCTCGCTCCGCGGCCGCAGGTCGCGCACCTGCGCGTCGGCCTGGCCGCCCACCCGCACGGTGGCCGGGGCGTGGTGGGGCAGCGGGCTCAGCGCATCCGCCGAGGTGATGTGCCTCGGGGGGGGCACGAAGGTGCCCTTCATCGCCTCCCGCTTCTCGCCGCGCAGCGCATCCAGTGCCGTCTCGAGTTTGCCGAAGCCCAGCACCAGCATCTTGAAGGTGGACTTGGCCCCCTTCTTCTGCGCCTGGTCCAGCGTCAGCGTCACCTGGTCCACGACGTCCGTGGGGTCTTCGTAGATGCTCTGCTTCCAGCGCAGCAGGTGGCTCCGTTCCTCGATCTGCGCATCGAAACGCCGGACGTACGGTGCAAGGTCGACCTCCTGCTTCTCCGCGAGGTACTTCTTGCTGGGCTCCGCAAGATCGCTCTCCTGCACCGTGTAGTCGAGAGCCTGCGCCCGGCTCAGCTCCTGCTGGCCCTTGGTCAGCAGATCCTGGGCGATCTCGCAGCAGGCCACCTCGAAGTGGAGCTGGACGCGCAGCTGCATCAGCCGCACCGAATTCACTTCGTCGAGGATCTCCGCACACCTTGACAACGACTGGCGTATCTTCACGCGCTGATCCGCGAACATCAGTTCCCGGCCGATGTTCCACATCGCGCAGGCAGACTCCTCCACCAGATCGACCTCGTTGATGCGCTGGGCCGTCATGATACACTGCTCGCACAGGCGAACGGCTTTGACTCTTGCCTCGAGCTCGAGACGCCTCTGCGCATCGGGTGCGAGCAGCATTTTCGTTGCTGGGTCCTCGTGCTTCAGCGTGCACGCCTGGTGCACATCCAACTCGCACTTCGCGATGTCGAGGAGGACCCGACCGCGACCCGGCGGAACGTTGCACTTCAGGAGGCGCTCCCGCATCGCCAGCGCCAGCTTCCAGCGCTCTGTCGAGCACGCGGCGCGCAGCACCGTGCATAGGTCGATCACCTGGCTGGGCGTCAAGCCGACCTTCTCGCGGTGCTTGGACGCCTGGGCGTACGGGTCGAACGCGTCCCGCGCCGCGCGCAGGTCGAAGTCCTTGTCGGTGGCCGTCCAGGCCTTGATGAGCTCCTCCTCGCTGGCCTCCTTGGTGATGCCACCGTTGCGCACGAAGAGCACTGTGCCCACCACCGTGCTGCCACTGGCCTTGTCTATCTCCTCCTTGGCCTTGCCCGGCGCCTTCCGCGCGAAGTGGGCGCGGGCGCTCAGCACCAGGGACTTTAGCCGCGGCTCCGAGGTCTCCAGGTCCGGGTTCAGCTTCAGCGCCTCGGCCAGGAACTGGCTGGCCTCCTCCGCCCTCTTCTGGACCTCGCCGTCGGGCTTGCCAGCATCCTCGAGTCCAAAGGCTAAGTTCAACGTGAGCTCTACCAGCCACACGGGGTTGACCGGGCATGGTATCACAGCAGCGCTGCCGCCGCCTTTGGCGTCCTTCCCGCTAGAAGCGCCACCGGCACCACGCGAGACCACCTTCAGCTTCTCGAGCACATCCGTGGTCTCCTCGACTATGTGGCGCTGCCAGCCCACGCGGCACATCGGCCTCACAACGTCCCAGAAAACCAAGGACGCGTTGTACACGAGAAAGCCGTACCTGGCGTCGTTGCCAGGCTTGGTTGCGATGCCCAACGCCTGCATCAGGAAACCCAGCGCATACCGCAGCTGCTGCAGCAGGTGGGGCCCCTTCAGCTGGCAGCCCTCCGACCCCAGGCGCGCCTCGACCACGCAACGCACCAGCAGCGCGCGCACCTTGAACTGGTCCTCCTCGCAGTTCAGGGCGTCGTAGAGATCCAGCGCCCTCGCCACAGCCGCCTCACGCTCCCGGAGGTCGCTGGCGACCTCGGCGAAGGTGACGAGGAGCGACGGCGACAACTCACAGGAGAAGCGGTCGAAGCCCTCCTCGATGAGCGCGAAGGCATCGTCGATCAGCTGGTGCGACCGCTGCTTGGCAGCGGACTCGATGAGGTGGCGTATGTGGCACTCCGCGGAGCTCATGCTCCGCCTCCCCCCAAGGCGCGCGCACGCCGGGGAGGCCTCCGCACGCACGGAGGCGTGCCTGTGCTGGCCACCGCCCCTCCCCTTGAGCAGGAAAGGCTTCGGACCCCGTTCGTTCCATTGCTCTCGGCTCCAAAGGCTACCAGATACCAAGCACCGGGAATGCACTCCAGACGCCCAACTGCACCCAGACTGTCCGACCGCGCGGTTGAGCAAGGACAGAGAGAAAGAGAGAGAGAGAGAGAGAGAGCAAGAAGGGGAAACCATGTTGAAGGAAGATGGCATGAACCACCTTTGCTGTAGGCCCAGGACGGGATGTGTATGAAGAGAAGGATGAAGAAATAACAAGACTGGAAGGTAGGGCTTGCCGCCCCGACTTCCGAGCACCAGCCTCACCATTGAGATGGTGAGTTGCAACAAGTGGGGGCACCATGACACCATGAAGGAATTACTAGAGAGCGGCATTGCATCGCACATGAATTGTTTCCAGACCAGCGTCTGAATCCGCCGGCCCCCTTGCGGGGCCATCAGGCTGCGAAGATGAAGCTTTTTCGTGCTCCCTGCACCAGTTCCAGTTTCAGGTCTCCGATGTTGCAGTCCTGCTTCGTGCGTCCTGCTGCAAATTGTTGCTGAACGCGCGAGGGGGGAGCCCCAAACCAGCCTTTTTCACCACGCCCAGATGGCGCTGCCTGAATTCCTGGGGGGGGGGGCGTGGGACATGTAAAACTACATGGAATCCACGCACCCTTGTGAAGTATACAATATTCGCGTCCCCGAAGCAATACACCTTCGCCAAGTATAGAAGATTCGCGTCCCTAGGGCCAAAAAACCTTCGCACATTACACCGTATTTGCGTCCCCAAGGCCACAAACCCTTGCAACTTACACAGTACTCGCGTCCCCGAAGCCATACACCTTTCTAAATTATGCAATGCTCGCGACCCCGAGGCCATAAACCCATTTAACTTACCTGATATTTGGGCCACCGAGGACACACACCCTCCTAAATTAAGCAATGCTCGCGTCCCCGAAGCCATACATCATCGTAGATTACCTAGGATTCGCGCCACCGAAACCATAAACCCTCGTACATTAAAATTGGCCCTCGCGTGAAGTCCCGACATTGCTTCACGCCAGCGTCCAGACATCCCAACACAGCTCTTGCAAGTCCCATGCCAAGAGAGGGGGACTGGCGGCAGGGGGGCGACGCCCTTACGGATAATCCCGAACCGATAGCTCGTGCATGCGGGAACTCCTCTGTGCAATCGAAAGCGATACTTGCGTCCGGGTGTTGCATTCTGACCCACGTAACAGCAAGGGATAACGCATACTCCAGATTTTGTAATAAAGGGAGGGGGGTCTCATTTCGGGGGGGGTCTCTTCCAGGCTATCTTGGAGGGCCTGGGGTGGTCTGGGGACGATGTTTTGGAGGGTTCTCCCACGAGGGGGGGTCTAAAACTTTTCGTCTGGGAGGGTTGAGACCCCCTCCCTTTTATTACGAAATCTGGAGTAGCTTGCTGCCTGTGCTGAGTACTGGCCAAGGCTTTGCGACGAGGAGCCCAGCGGGTGCATCGGAGAGGGTCGCCCCCTGGACCGAACGGTGCGTCTTCCTGGCTGTCCGGATGAAAGCTCGCTGCACATGCCCAGTTTCACGGGACTGGACGCTGTCACCGTGCAACTCCTGCGAGAACCTAGGCTTGTGCCTGAGCACCTGCACACCGGAGCTCACTGTGGTGAGAAAGCTGGCCTTCGGGCTCGCAGCCCTACTTGCGTCAATGAAGGGGCACCAGGACACACAAATAAATGCACACAAACAAAAATATTCCTAATACTTTCCCATATTTGCTGGGTTTTTGTCTTCCCCCCCCCCGCTTCCCATATTTCCCTACCTAGGCTCTGCCTAGATGGTTCTTACTCTCTTAGCTTAAAGGGGCCGGGCAGTGTAAAGCGCCCCGGGCGGTTCCCCCAGTCCCCGCCCCGCGGTTCCCCCCAGTCCCCTGGGAGCTTTAGCTTTAGCTTTAGCTTTAGCTTAGCTTTAGAATAGCGTTTCGCTTAGCGTTTCGCTTAGTTTTTCGCTTAGCAGTTAGCTTAGCTTTAGCTTATATTTAGCTTAGCTTTAGCTTAGCTTGAGCTTAGCTGTAGCTTAGCTTTAGCTTAGATTTAGCTTAGCTTTAGCTTAGATTTAGCTTAGCTTTAGCTTAGCTTTAGCTTAGCTTTAGCTAGGCTTTAGCTTAGCTGTAGCTTAGCTTCAGCTTAGCTGTTGCTCAGCTTTAGCTTAGCTTTAGCTTAGCTTTAGCTTAGCTTTAGCTTAGCTTTAGCTTAGCTGTGGCTTAGCTTTAGCTTAGCTTTAGCTTAGCTTTAGCTTAGTGCTACTGTTACTACTAATGCTGCTTTCCTAGGGGTTCCAACTCCTAGGTAGGATCGCACTGGGATAATTTCTTGGGACTCGACGATCAATTGTGTCTGTGTGTTTTTTCCCCCCTGAGTCAACTGTCGTCAGGGCGTGAGGCGGGAAACAACCTACGCCAGGGGTGCCCAAGACGCTGCTGATCTCCGTGCTCTGTTCGCCGATGTTTCGACAAAGCCATCCAGCATCTGCGCGTTAGGTGTAACGCAGCTGTGCACATGCATAGGACTGTGTTTGTGCGTGCTCATCGCCACCTCATGGATGCTGATCCTTTCGCAGTTCACAATTCGCCGTCCTTTTTTCGTGCCCCCCACCCGTTCGTGCAGCTGCAGTAATGCTTCGAAGCGCGGCCTGGGAAAGCAACAGGTGCATTGCGCCCTCCTGAAACACTTCATCCCCATCTCCTCGTTTCTTCCCAGTCGGGACTTGCCCAAGGGCCCTACGGAGTCCTCATTGCAACGCAAGTGCAATGTAATGCACACAGAGCGACTTCAAATCAAGGCACGTCAAAGCAACACAGCACACATAATGGCGCATGTGTTTGCGTGCACGCATAAGATATATACTGGAACCACGCGCGCGCTTCGCAAGCTCCGACCCTAATCATTGTTTCTCCACTGTGTGTTAGATTGTCTCTTCCGCTTGGGTTCTGCGAGGTCAATCGAAAGCCACGCCAGGATTTGAATCATAGTTCTGGCGCAGGCGCACGTAGCGGGGCACGCCGTGTACTCTTGCATGGGGCAAATCTTCCAACTGCATGTGAGGACTGCGCCTCGGAGAAGTGTTCTAGAACATGTTGTGGACATTCCACGTGCAGGGTGCTCATTGTCAAGCTGCGCTTTTTCGTCTGTTTGTCGTTGGCGCGTATTCGGAACTCTCGCTCTAGGCTGGCGACGTCCGCACGCAAGTTCCAGCACCGAGGCTCGCTCCGAATCATGCGTTGTGGCGCTGTCCTGGGGAACTTGCATATGCACCCCTGTGTGGCTCCTGCAAGCGGCAGCCTAGCAGGGCCCCCCAGGGCGCCGAAGCAAACGTTTTTTTTTTACGGCAAAGGAAACTAGAATTCCGCTGCCCCTCAAGAGGGCTATCCCAATAGGAGGAGGAGGAGGAGGAGGAGAAGGAGGAGGAGAAAGAAGGCATAGGCGTTGCACGTGCATCTCCCATGGCCAGCCCGACCATTTATAGAAGAAAGCACCGCACGACAACAATCAAACAGCAGCGAGAGGGCGCCCCAAGCAAGAGTGCCCAGCACCGCTCCGGGACGGCTGCCCAGATGCTCCCGGGGGCGGAGCCTCGCGGCCGAGGGGCAGCCCCGGAGCACGAGCGAACGCACGGACGACCACCGGTGCGGGCAGCAGTCCGGGCCTACGGTCGGGGCGTTGACCTAAGGAACCCTAAATAAGGAACGAGGCCCCTTTGTTTCCATGAGTTAAACTTCGATTTCCAATCGAAAACATAAGGGAAACCTGGGGCAAGCTGTGAAACACTGAAGGAACGCGGAGCCCCTCCCCAACCAAAAGGGTTCCTTCTTCAGGGCCCCGACTGTACTGGAGACCAGGTGAACGAGGCCGTGGCCTCTGAAATTCTATCGTGTGAGGAAATGCGTGCATGCGCTTTGTGGGCCGCGGAAACGGCAGGGCCGCTTTTTCGCCGTTTCCCCCAAAAATGTCGCTTGAAAATGGAAACGGCAAAAAAACGGCGACCAGAAACGACAAAAAAACGGCTCCAGGATTGGAACCGGAGCCGGAACTGGTCAAAAAACGGCGTCGGAACCGGCAAAACAACGGCGTCGGAAACAGCAGAAAAACGGCAAAGCGGAACCGGTAAAAACACGGCCCTGTCGTTTCCAGGGCCCACTGAGTGCATGCGAAGCATAAGAAGTCACGTGAGACGGAAGGGGAGGGGAGGAGGGGGAGGAATCCCTGCAGGCGAGGGGGATGGAGGATCCTGGAGGCTGCACGCAGCGCCAGTCGAGGAGTCCTCGCAGGAGGATGGAGGGAGCTTTGCAGTCGAGGAGTCCCTGTAGTCGAGGAGGGGGAGGAATCCCTGCTGTCGGGGGGGGCGGAGGAATCCCTGCAGTCGGGGAGGAGCTCTCAAAAATAGGCAGAACAAAAGCAGGTGGACGGTTTCCCGACTCGTTTTGACTGAATCTGAATATCGGTTGGACTATCATGCAACTTGCGCCCCAAAGCCGCCTGCAGGGGGACATGCCCGACCTAACGCCAGGTGAGGGCCACATGAGCGGACCCAAAGAGCGTGGAGCCCCTTGCCCGAAGCGAAGGGGACCTCTCCCGAACTGTTAAGGGCTCCGAGCGGTCCGACACTGCTCTCGCCTCAATTCCACGCACTTGCTCCTTGCGTGTTGCGCTCCCGTGTGGGTGCAGCGAACAGCTTCGCCCCGACAAGCTCGAAGAAGGCTCGTGAGGTACATGGGGGGCCCGGGAGAGATTAGGCCAAGACTGTTCCGGCGGAAGGCCTCGGACACTTCACTCCCGCACCGAAAGAGACCTCGTCCCGAACTATGGACGGTGAGGATCGGTAAGTGTTTCGAGCAGACGGCAGCGCTCGCACTTCCGGCCACACAGCTGTTCCTTGCACGTTGTGCTCCCGCGTGGGCGCGGCGAATCCTTACGCCCCGTCAAAGTCGAAGAGGGCTCGCGAGGAATGTGGAGGTGCCCGGAAGAGACTGTGCTTATCATGTTCCGACGAAGGGCCTCGGACACGTTCTCGACCATGCGGTGTGCACGGCACACGTGTCGGTCGTGCGGAGCTGCCGTGTGCTGCCATCGCCGCTTTTTGGGGGGGACACTCTCCCTCACGGCGATCCCGCCCGTGGCGAAGAGTAACATGCGGGCGACTAACCCTGCTGAGGAGGAGGAGGAGGAGGAGGAGACGGAGGAGGAGGAGGGGGAGGAGGGAGGGGGGAGAGGAGGAGGAGGGGAGGGGGAGCAGGAGGAGGAGGAGGAGAGGAGGAGCAGGAGGCCTGAGAGGAGCTTGCGGCTCCGCCCCCCTCGTGGCAGAACGCGGTGGTGGGCCGCTCCTGCGACCCAGGTCCGCCGGCACACGCGCCGGCGGATCGAGACCAAATCTCAGCGCACCGGGAACGGCCGGGCGGGAGGGGCACGGATGTCAGCTGTGGCGCGCGCGCGCGCGCCGAGCTTGTCTCCCCCGCCCCCCCCCCCCCCTTCTCTGGCCCCCACCCCCCCTCTCCCCTCCCCCTTCTCCCCCTCTCCCCCCCCTCTCCCCCTCCCTTCTCCCCTCTCCCCGCCCCTTCTCTGGCCCCCTTCCCTCTCTCCCCCCTCCCCCCCCTTCTCTGGCCCCCCCCCTCTCCCCCCCCTCTCCCCCCTCTCCCCCCCCTCCCCCCTCCCCCCTCTCCCGCTGCCCCCCCCTTCTCTGCCCCCCCCCCCTCCTCCCCCCCCCTTCTCCCCCCCCCCCCCTCCTCCCGCTGCCCCCCCCCCCCCCTCTCCCGCTCGCTGCCCTCTCCTCTCCCCAAGACCCTCGCCTCTTCCTCCTGCCGGCGCGACCTCGGGACACACCCCCCTCCGGAGGTGCCCCCCCGGAGGAGCCCGCCCGCCCCTTCCCGCTCCACGGAGGCACCAAAACGAAGGTGAAAGGGGGGCACTCTTCCCGACTCCGCCCTCGCGCTGGAATCCGACGTCGGCGTGCTGCTGCGCACGCGCTCCTGCCTGGGATCTGCAGCCGATGTGCCGTCCAGGAACGGTTCCTGACGGACGGACTGGGGAGAAGGGTGCACCTCTTGCGCACCCTAAGGGGCCCACGGGTGGGCCCCTTAGGGCCCCTTTTCCTGCAACCCTGAGATCCCCCCCCCCCCCCCCCCATTGATCGCCCCCCATGACGAAACGCCCGATCCCGCCTCCAGCCCCCCCCCCCCTCACGGATACCGCTACTCGCCAGACCTCTCCAAGGGTGCGTTCTGACCAGAATTTCGAAGCGAATCCGGCCGCGGCGACAAGGGAGGGGCAGCGGGATCGATACCTTCGCCTCTTTAGAGGAACGCATAAACAGAATTTCTCGGAGGTCCGCGCGGACCTCCGAGAACGTGTATTTACGCAATTTGCTTGGTGAATGAAACATGCATGGAACTCGCGCGATAGGAACATATGCGTTGAAACCCGTGTGCTGTGCAATATGTGTTTGTGCTTCGACTGACCTTCCCCAGTCCGCCCACCCCCCTCCATGAGACGCCCCCCGCGCCGTCCCTCCCCCTGCCCCCCCCGTCGGGGGCGTCCAAGAGGGGGGCGTCCAAGACGAGGACTCGCAAATCTGTGGCCCGAGGAACGGGCGTGGCCCAGGGGGGGATGTGCTGGGGTGGGGACGTATTTTGAGCAGGGACCGACCGTCCCGGCATTCCTATAGTCATACCACGAAATGTTCTTAGAACCCAAGTGTTCGAAAAACAAGAACAATGTTCTTAGAACATAAACCCGATGTGTTAAAACAAGACAGTCCCAACCAGGAATGTTCTAAGACCATTCCGGGGAAACCACAAACGGTTCTTAGAACATTGTTTGGTAGGGCTGTAGGCGAGCCAGGACGCTTCGCCACTGCCTGAATACTGAAACGAGAAGAGGCGCCATGACATCTGGGGAGACACGGCAGGGAACATTTGCGCAGCGTGCCACAACGACGGCCAGGGCCACGCGCCATGCCGTAAAGAGTGGATAGCATGCCGCCCCGCGACGTGTTTTGGGCCGGAGATCGGCGGCGCGGCGCGCCATCCAAACACTCCCGACCGTACCATGGCCCGGCCACGATCCCCCCCCCTCCGATACTGACGTGCAAACCGTTCGTCGTACTTGGGTATAAGGGGGCGAGAACTACTCCAGATTTCGTGATGAAGGGAGGGGGGTCTCATTTCGGGGCGGGTCTCTTCCAGGCTATCTTGGAGGGCCTGGGGGGTCTGGGGACGATGTTTTGGAGGGTTCTCCCACGGGGGAGGTCTGAAATGGCTTGTCTTGGAGGGTCCAGACCCCCTCCCTTTTATTACGAAATCTGGAGTAATCGAACCATCTAGTATCTAGTAGCTGGTTCCCTCCGAAGTTTCCCTCCGGATACCTGGAGTTGAACGGTTTTATCAGGTAGAGCGGATGATTCGAGGAATCGGGGGCGTGTTGTCCTCGTCGCCCCCCTCCTGGCCGCCCCCGACCGCGGGTGCGCCCAGAGGCCTCGGGCACAGGCCACGCCAACCAGCAGCCAGGTCGCCGGCCGCGCTGCGCCGCCTCCGCGGGCCGCCCCCGCGCCCCCCCGCGCCCCCCACGCTCTGTTCCGCTTCCTCCTCCTCCTCCTCCTCCTCCTCCTCCTCCTCCTCCTCCTCATCCACCTCCTCCTCCTCCTCCTCCTCCTCCGCCGCGCGCGTAGATCAATCACGATTTCTTCCAAGCTTTACGACGAGGCAGGCAGGGGCGCAACCTCATATGTAAATGTGTACGTCGCCGCGGATTCTGTCGCCCACGTCGCTGTCCAGCACCAAGTCGGTATAACACCTCGGAATGGTGTTCTGGCGCGAGTTAGGATTGCCACGGCGCAACAGTCACGTTTGCTGTCGCGGTGTTGGGATCCCACGACTGGTTATCAAGTGCAATTCAGGGCTGTCACGAAACACTCGTCACGTTGGTTGGCGGCGTTGGAATTTAAGGCATGACTACCTCATACGATTTAGGTTTCTCAGGACGCAACACTTACGTTAACTCGCGGCGGTGAGATCCCAGGATTGGTGTTCTGCGGCGACTGTGGATTCTCAGCCGATCGCCTATCTTCGAGACTTTTCCCGCACGGGAAGTCAATAATTGCAGGCACATGTGAAACTAGAGTTCGGAGGGAGGGTTGATCACAACATCGTTGAAGCGTCCTGGGTTTGCACTGGTCCTGCAATTTGCCGAAGAAGAATTGCACCATATCCTGTCGATTCTATTTGTAGAACAGCAGGGCTCAGCGCACACCCCACCTGATCACATGAACCAAAGGGCGCGGTAACCACATCCGCCAGACTAATTCACTAGCTCCGTGGAAATCCAGGACGTGCTCGCCAAAAAAATTAGCAATTCCCAATCCCGGCGTTCTCGAGCCTTTCGTTTGCCCAGTCTTCTGTAATGGCGGTTGTAGAAAGAAACAAGAAGGGGGGGCCGATCTTGGCGGAGTGGGCGCGTGCCCCCCGGCATCCAAACGTGCTCCAGGGCGGTTTCGGACCTGGCGACGCGCGCGCGGTTGATAGCGTCGGCGGGGTCGCGCGCGGTCGTGGGGCGATGCCCCTCGTCGTGCTGCACTTTTTTAACTCAGCAACCGTGACCGCCCTCGCGCGCCCGTTCGATGCTCCTCTCCGCCACGTTGCCCCATCCGTCCATGGCCCCCCAGTAAAAGCGATTTGGTTTGCGTAGGTAACGGGGGGGGCCTGGCGTTCACGTCCTCCCTGATCCTCTGCAACTCCGTGGCAGCGCTGGGGTCGGCCACCCACCCGCCCCCCTTCGCCCAGAAATCAAAATCGAATGATGGCAACCTCGGCTGCATATTGACCGCCTCCTTTTGGTCCCTGGCGCGGTGGGGGGCGCCTGGGCGCTCTAGCGGGAAAGCGCGGGGGCGTGCGTCGACAGTGCGGCGTGACCTCGATGACTCGACCGTGATTGAACTGGGTGGTGCCAGCAATTGTTGGGGGCCTCGCGCGGGCGCTGCAACTCGCCCCCACTGAACTGGCGCGGAGTCGTAATGCCCATGCAAGCATTACCAATTCGTCCGCCAAGTAAGTAAAGACCTCGGCTAACTCCCCGGTCGCGAACCCCGCGGCAGCCGTGCCTGCGCTGATCTCGCCGCGATGGCCGCGCGACTCTTCGCGCCGTACTTCGACGCCGATCACCGCGTGGATTCTCGCCCATAACATGCCAAACATCGCGCCGAACATGTTGCATAGACCGTCCACCTGCAGCTCGGGGGCCGCTTGGTTCAAGACCTGAGTCTGGAGTGCGTTCTGGTGCTGGTCGGCTGGGTCACCGTGGTCGAGCTTGGCAGTGGCGCGATCGAAGTGACCCGGCCGCCAGGGGGCGCTGTCGCCCTCGGGCAACTTCGGCTGGCCGCGGCCAACCTGCGTCGCCCGCGATTCGTGGGAGGAGCGCCGGTGACCAGAATATGGAAACTAAGGGCGACTGCCAAAGGGGCGGTCCGTGCAGGTAAACCAATGGCAACAACTAGTGTGCATCACCGTGGCGCCCCGCGGGGTCCTGGAGGTCGCGCGGCCGATCGTCGCCCCGCCAACATCCGCGGAAACTGCGCCGGGAGTTGCGCGCCGCTTGCGTCCGTCAGCGGCAGTCCTCTGACATCTGAAGGAGCTCCACGTTGCTGTGCTCCTCGACATCCTCCCTGACGCCGCCGGTGCACGACTGGGCCTGGCGGCGCCTTTCGACTGCTCGACGACAGCGGGCGCCGCGGATTTGGCCACCTCCTCAGGCGTCGGAGGGGGCGGTGGCGCACTGGTGCTCGCGGCGCCGCCGCCTGGGGGTCGGCTCCTGGACCGCTCGGAAATCTCGTTAACCGACTTCTCCCGCAAAGCTGGGCCACCGCGCTGCTCTTCAGTTTCTCGGGCTGCGTTTTCTCTTCGGCCGCTGGCAGCTGCTAGGGCGGCCCCTCGGGAGGCGGCGCGGCCCCGGGCGTGGCGAATGCAGCGCGCGGCGGGGCCGTCTCGGGTGGCGCGCGAGGGGCGGGCGGAGATGGCGCTCGCACTCCGACCTTCGGCTCCGCGATGGCGGCGCCATTTAATGCGCGGGGCTCGCCGGGCGCGCGCGGCCCGCGACCTCGTCTGACGCCGAGGCGCCCGGGGCCTTGGCAAGGCGGCGATTTGGCTCAAGTGCCCAACTCTTGAACTGTAGCTCCAAAGCGGCGCGCCAAATCCACGATCGTCGCCGTGTTTCTCACAAGCCTGCGATGTTTAGACCCCCGCGCGTCGTCATCCATGTCGCGGCCGCGATGCACTGAATCGATGCTGGCGCCCAGTGTCTCAACTTCGTCGTCGAGGCCCGCCGCCGTTTTAGCCGCCTCGTCTCGCTCGGCCGTTAACTCGGCAGTGCTGACCATCTCCCAGCGCGCTTTTTCCTCCTCGAGGAACTCGGCGAGAGTGCCGCAGGTGCCGTTGCGCATCTGGGACAACGACTTGAGCGTGGCAGTCTGATCCTCGCACCGGTCGAGGACCTGGTCCAACGTGGCGCGTTCGCCAATTCCTCCTAGAGCCGCGGGGCTTGCTGTCGATCCGCAAGATACCGTCTGGGCCACCAGGGCCACTGCTGGCCAGTTGATCTCTGCCACCACTCGCCATGGCACAGCCTCTAGCAACAGCTGTAAGTTATCGAGAGTAAGATGAGAAGGGGGGCTCGTTTAACTCGTCTGAATCAGACGCTTGGACAGAAAACTGGCTGCGGCGAATCGGCAGTCAGAGGCTGGTGCTAACCTTTCTCCCCTCCAGCGCAATCTGGCTAGCGTTGCGCAAGTGCTCGGCGCGGGCGCCTCCGTCGACGCGCCCGGGAAATGCGCCAGCCACGTTGTCGTTGGCACCGGCCTTTGTTGGCCTGGTGCCCCCCCTTCTAACCTTCTCTTGCAGCCGATTGAATCCTCTTCTGTGCGCCGTTGCAATAGCTGTCCTAGCATCACTCAAGATTACTAAACGCGCGGTAAGATTGAAATCCTGGAGCACGGCCTGAAATCCCAAACCAATTGATCCTGTTTCTACCATCCCATAATATCCGGCCTCGCCCGATGATAACGCGCGCGCTCTGGGTCGTGCTCCGCGATTTGAGCTGTGGTTCGCCGCGCGCAACCACATGCCGCCCCCCCCCTCCCCCCGCCCGCTCTTTAACGTGCGGCTCTTCTTGCATCCGGCATAGTCCTTGACAGTCGACATCAGCTGCTTTTCGGGTAATCGTTGAGACTTGGGGGTGACTGCGCCTTCCCCGATATTTTAAATGACTACTTTTTTTCCAGGTTCCTTCGGCACCCTACTGTGGGCTGTGGCATGTATTTGGCCAACGCTTGAACGGCATGTTGCGTGTCGGATCTGCGGTGTGCTACATAGTCAGCCTTGGCTACCAAATGCCTTGTATCTCCTGGTGCCGAGCTGTGGGAACTCTGCATCGCCTTCTCCATTCGTCGTTGCCTTCTCTTCTGGTGCGCTTGGCATGAACTTGTTACTGTCTAGCTCCAACTCCTGGCCAATGTGAATCTGCGTGCGTCTTTGGCCCGCTTCGCGCCGCGAGCCGCCCTGATTCCACTCGAGGATCCTGCTCAATACTCTGATGCGCTGGTCCTCTTCGTCTGTCGCCTCAGGGTCGACACGCCCTCATGCCTTTCAACCGCGAAGCCTTCTTTTATTTTATGTTCGAACATATCTAGCTCCGCATCGCCTCCGAACGCTGTAAACTCAGCTTCGTGTATTGTCGGCCATGCCGTCTTACTTTTTTGTTCGGGTGCAAATTGGGAGGCGGGCCCGCTTTCGAATCCGACTTCCTCGCCAAGCCCATGCAGCAGTCTTCGCACTTACTAGCTGCGCCTCTATTTCCATACATGGGTTTCAACAACCCGACACGCATTCCCCGTTCGCTGTCCTTTGCAAGGAGTGGAACGAAGATGCCCTGTTGGAACGAAGATGCCCTGTTGGCCATGGCTTGGGGTGCTCTTCTGAATCGGAAAATCACAACTTCATTCCAGTATGTTTATCAGACCATTGTTTCTGTCACTGCCATGGAGAGCAATAGCTCGCATCAAATATGCGATTTCTTTCGGAAAAGTCTTCAGCTTACTGAATTACTCAGCCGGGTTGGTACTCGGGGATATTTTCCCCCCCTTCTGAATGTCGATCCATCTGGTTCCACTGGGTCCTTTCCAGGCAATCTCCCACTTCATTTCTTCATTGAATTCCCCATGGGCGCCATGATTTCAGAATTGATTCATTTCATTAATCAGTACCTTGTTTGTGTGGTCTGGACTGGATTCGGCCCCTGCCACGTCATCCAAGGTTTGATTGTGTCCGCGCCCCCAATGGCATACAACCATACGGCCAGCGCGTCGACTCGTTGAGCTGGGATCACGCACCCGATTCCGCCACGAGCCTCACAGGTTCTCGGCGCCATTCGCCAAGCAGGATGCTCGGATTAGGTTCGTTCCCATTTGTGCGGTTGGGTCTCCCACGGGGCTGCATGTGAACTGTTTTATTGTCCCTTGGCCCTCCCCTCGACATGATTCTTCTTGCTCTGCCGGCGATTTCGTTCGCGGGCCTGTCCTGGATTATTTGTCCAGTGCCCATATCCTTGGTCATTCTGCGAGCGCATTTCCTCCATGCCGGCCCCTAAGCTCCAAATAACACCAATATCTGCGTTCCGTGGCCCCTTCGGGTTCGCTCGAGAATGCTAGTCTCATTCGTGATCATCTGATCTCGCTAGCCGTCCCATGTTCTCATTGTCTATCGCTTAAGACGTCCTAATCAATGATGTCCCGAGGTTCACAATTGTGCAATCATTTCACTACCCGAAGGCGAATACTCTCAAAACGGTGTTATTTCTCATTCAGACTACTTCTCAGAAAGATGCAAGGCAGTTCTTGCTCAAAACGGGGACCTCGTTTGAAGGGCAAGCCCAGTCTTTCAAGAGGGGGCTTGGGACGGGAGGGTTTGATGCAGCATCGTTGATGCATCCTGGGTTAACTCTGACCCATCCTCCTTCTCGTCGTCCTCCAGATGTCTCCTGGATGAGGTCCGAGTGGATGGGGTCGGAGGATTGCGACGCATCGCCGATGTATCGGGAATACATCGGCGATGCATCGACGACGTCGGTGTGGAGAACATCGAGTTCCACATCGAGCCGCATCGGCGATGCGGCGCGATCCTCCGACCCCACCTACTCGGACTCCATCTGAAGACTTGCCATCACTCGGACGTCCATGTCCAGTGTGTTTTTCGATTTCGCGCGTCTATTTGTCGAAAACGAAAAAAAAGATGCTCCTCTATGGTCCCCGCCGGGGAAAACATGCAAACGTCCGAGCGATGCCAAGAGCAAGCCTGGAGAGTCCTCTTCCTCGACCTCGGCTCTTCCCCAAGGGGGCGGCGGCAGCGTGCAGAGGGCCGTGGAAGTAGCGTCCAGGCCGAGGAGGCTCGGATGCTGCGCGGCCGACACGGCGGGAGGAGGAGGAGGAGGAGGAGGAGGAGGAGGAGGAGGAGGAGGAGGAGGAGGAGGAGGAGGAGGGGGAAGACAGTACAGTAGGCTGCGGAGAGTACTTGAGGTATTCGGGAGTTCCAGAGGAGCTTGCGGCGGTGTTGTCGGTTCGTCGGACGATCACGGAGGAGGAGGCGCCTCCGCTCTCCCCTTGCGCCGCCCGGAGCCCTCGCTCCGCGGCGCCCCATCGAGAGAGCGGGGCGGGCGACAGCGCGAGGAGGCCCTCACGCCGCGGGGGGCAGCCGGAAGCCCCCAGCCCTCGGCACGCAGACCACCGCCGAGGCACCGTCGGCCTCGCAGGCGGGGCCGTCGCGCACCTGGGCCGAGGCCGAGCGCAGGGGGCTCGTCGGGCTTTCGCCCTCGGGGCGGGGCGGCCCTGGAGTTCGGTCGGGCACGTCCCCCTACGGGCGGATTTTGGGAGACAAATAAGAAATCAGAACTCCCAACTAGTCAAAACATAATCGAAACACTGTCCCCATACATATTTGTAAATTTTGGAACATGGCTCCTGTAGAGGGACATGCTGGAGTCGCACTTCCTGCATGGGGCGATTTTGCCCTGCCTCGGGCCCCAGGACCCTCGCGGATCGGTCCGGCCTGACTAATGTCGCAGGAAGATGGGGGCCAAGGGTCGTGACTGGTCGAGTCTATTTGGATTTAGGGGTGGCCTCTGATACAGTCAGGACCTTTGGTCCAGCGTGTCGCGGCGGCGGCCCCAGCTACGCGCCTTGCCCTGCGAGCAGATGGCGTGTCGCTCCGCTCCGCGGGGCGGGAGGCTCGGAGAGGCTCGGGTCGTTGGCGCTTCCCAGACATGCGACGTCCTGTTTTTTTCAATGCGCGGTCCCCGGAAGACCGGGCCCTTTCCCCGAGACCGGTTCTTCATCCTGAGCCGTTTCTGGGCGGTCCTGGGGCCCAGCGAGGGCCCTGGGAGGCCGTGACTTTTTCTACGACGCGAACGCGTCTGGGTTTGGGAGGGAGGAGGAGGAG